TCACCATCTTCAACAAAGCATACATATGAGGCAGGTGTTACAAAAGCCACCTTAAGAGACCTGGGGGCAGCTGGAGGGATTTCTGCAACAGTAGGCCTCTGGCCTCCATTAGAAGAAGAAAGGAAAGGCATTGTAGGTTGACCGTTCATTGGTTGTGAGTGAAGGACTTCACCTTCTTTCAGTGCATGTGGTTGACCAAAAGAGTGATTCTGAATCAGAGAACCTCTCTGTGGAGGGCTGTATGCCTGGGTCTTCATTGTTTTGGATTTATACTGTATTCCTGGAAGCTCACTCAGGTTGGCAGCTTCCACCTTGTATGCAGTTCAAAACTCCAAGCTCTTTTTGCAGTTTGAACAGTGACAAAATGGTCTTGGACTTACTTGTTAGGAATAGTGATAAGTTTTTTAGAGGCTCTCTTTTCTCCAATTTTTCATCCAGGTCATGAATTCGTTGCTTGTGTGTTTTCACTTCCTCAAATAGCTTCTTCTTTTTCTGAATTAGTTTATTGTATTAGGATCAGTGAGATGATGGTGCATGGTGGGCACACTTGTGACCAGTCATGTTGATGGAAGCACTGCACCTGAGGAGAGTGGCTATTCGTTGTTGCCACTTAGAGTTAACCTCGCAGTTAAAACGAATTTCAGAATAATTTAGGGAAACCTGGAAGGGTCTTTTCACTCTTCAGGGTGAAAACAAAGTAGTTGAGCTTGGGAGTTGCCTGGTTTGGACAAAGGAGTCAGGACTCACAGTCAGGTCTGGGTTTGTACCTGCTCTACTACTTGGGACTGGGTGACCTTTTGGACAGTATCATCTTTATCAGCATCTTCATAATGAACGCCATGAAGGGCATTCTGTGGAGTGAACCTAGGCACACAAAGTACAGGACAGTTAGAAGAACTTCTAAGACTGACTTGGTCCTTGTCAAAGGGGGATTTCTTTCATGTGACTTGAGAAAAGCATCATTTAGAGCTGGTGTACTTCCTGGGAGTCATTTCATTTTCTTTCTCTCTCTTAAACTTTTTTTTTTAAGTTTATTTATTTATTTTGAGAGAGAGTGAACAGGGAGGATCAGAGAGAGAGAGGGAGAGAGAATCCCAAGTAGGCTCTGCGCTG